CAGCGAATCAGGAACACCAAAAGCCAGGTCTTTGAAAAAAAATTTAACAGTAAAACAGACAAGTCTTTGGCAAGTCTGGTCAATAATAAAAATCAAAAAACGTAGATGCAAAATGGGGAACAAAAATAAAATAAGAGAGAAAGAATATTAAAGAACATTATGCACAGCATTTTACCAAGAAATAGAAAAATACATTTGAAACGGAAAGTTTTCATTTTACACAAAAAAAGTAAAATAACAGCCTTGGCCGGCACACTCAGTGGTTAGAGTGTTAGCCTGCGCACCGGAGGGTCATGGGTTTGATTCCCAAGGTACATACCTCAGTTGCAGGCTCCATCCCCAGCTCTGGCTGGGGCGCCTGCAGGAGGCAACCAGTCGCTGTGTGTCTCTCACATGGATGTGTCTCTCTCTCCCCCTCCCCCTTCCTTCTACTCTCTCTAAAAATCAATGGAAAAAATATCCTCACTCCTTGGGTAAGGTTTAAAAGAATGAAAATTTTTTAAAAAGTAAAATAACAGAAGACATGTAAAAACTGTGCTGAACTTTGCACAATAAGAATGTTTTCACTTATTATATTTGTACTAATAAAAGAAACGTCAATGAGAATTATGTAAAACAAACAAGCCCAACTGTCCTGCAGAGGGAATAATGCCCCTCCCTCCCCTGCCAGGGCCCAGGTGGCTAACGACCTCCTCCTAAATTTAAGGGAATACACTTCAGGGAACCCTGGGGGCTTCTTTTCCTTTGGTGTTTGTTTAGTTTAGTTTATGCCTGAGCCTGTAAGGACCTGCCTGCATCCCTGCTGGGGGCCTGGCTCTGTCCTGCCCCCAGTCCCCCCCGTCCACCTGCAGGGTGGCCTGCACAGCGAGCTGGGACCCACCAGGAAGCAAGAAGGGCTTTGTAGGATGCACTGGCTGGGCCTGGGTGCCCCTGGGGCTCAGTTATTCAGGGTTTCGGAGGAAGGATTTGTAATAAAGACGTGCACAGCGGTGCTATTTATAACCGAGAAAACTGGAAACAACCCAAATCGCCCCCCACTGGGACCGGCCTGGCAGATACACAGAGGAGGGGATGGAGATGCCGCACGTGATGCAGGAGAGAGAGCTCCGTGGAGACCGCAGCCACGTGCGTGGGGGGAGCCAAATATAACGCAGTTTGCACACAGCGGGTAATTATGGGACACTGCGGCTCCCGGGTGTCTGCCGCCAGTCGTAACCTCCTGTATCCTGCACCATGTCACCCCACTCTGCAAAGGAGGCCGCTGGACTGGGAGAGGGGCAGCCCACAGCAGTCCGGGGCACATATCACGAGGGGGTGGGAGGCCAGCCTGGTGCAGGGTCCTCCCAATCCCCAGGCCTGCAGAACCAGCAAGCTGGTTGTGCAGGCCACCTGCAAAGGGTCCAAATGAGGGTGACAGAACTTTAAGGTCCTGGGCCTTTGCCCCAGAGATGCACCATCTGCTCCTGAGCTCCCCCACTGGCAATGGAACTTGGGTAACCACCATGCTTCTTGTCCTGCCTCACAGGGTCCCCTCAGCCTCCTCTGAGGTGTCCCAAAGTTCAGGGTCTCCCAGAGTCTGGGCTCCCCTCCACCCAGGAGTCCTGAGAGCAGTGGGTGGAGGAGGGGTGCGGGCGGACCCTGAGCCCGCAGAGTGGAGTGGTCTTGCCAGTCTGTCCTGCCCAGGCCCCAGTCGAGGCACCTTGGCTTCTGCGAGCTGCCAAGGTATCTGGCTTCTCAGCTTGTACAGAAGCAGCTCCACACCATGGACGAGGCCCTCCTGCCCCCACCGCACCACAGCCTCTGCCTGACAGGCCACCTGGGCTTAGGGGCTCTGACACAGGACAGCCAGAGTAGGAGGGGCTCTCTCAGGGAGGCCCTGTCCACGCAGCTGGAGGGCGGGACTCAGCTGGGGTCTTGGCAGACTGGCCTGTGGGCCTGGACCCTCGCAGGGGTCAGCCAGGTGCCGGGCAGCGGCCCTTGCAGGCTGGAAAGCAGCCCTGACTGCGGTTGGCCCCCAGGCAGGCTGGGCCTCCTGGGCCTGGTAGACAAGGGCAGCTTTCTCCTCCCACCTCCTCAGGCCTCCCTCGAAGCTGCCGACGCCCAGGGCTTGCTGCGGGGTTGTTGACCCAGGCAGGACCCAGGGTCTCCTGAACCCACCTGTCCTTCCTCTGCCCCCAGGAGAAACTGATGGAGTCACCCCTGGAAGGTGCCAGTCTCAACATCTTTGTGCTGTTGATATTAATTCTATTCATAGCCACTGTTTGGGGCAGGGGCTAGAGGGGTCCACTGAAAAAGGATAGTTCAGAGTCGGAACTTGGTGGCCACTGCAAGTGAGAAGTGAGTGTGGGGAACAGGGCTGCTGAGGGCGTCAGGGTGGAAGGACCCAGGGATGAGCAGGTTTTGGGGGAAGGTGCTCAGTCCTGCTCAAGGTGTGGGGAAGGGCTCCGGGCACCACCACCTGCCGTGTGTGGTGAAGACGGGCCTGCGGGGCCGGAGCACAGATGAAGACTGAAGGTACAGACCAGTAATCATCAGGAGGAAGGAGGAGTAGATGCCACAGCCTAGCGAGTGTCCCCAGGAGGAGGGGAGAGGGCCGGTATGGGGCAGATGGTCTGAGGAAGAGGTGATGACGGAGCTGGGAAGGACCAAGCAGAGGGTGAGAGGCCAGGAGCCCCAGGTGGGCGTGTCCAGCAGAGAAGTGTCACTGGGCTGGGGGCCGGGACACAAGAGGTCAAGACGAGTGTGGGTCAGAGAGTGGACACAGAGCATTGCCTCCTCTGTCGAGAGGCTCACCCGTGACGCCCACTTGTGGGTGGATCAGCTGGCACCAGGCTTGCCGTTCCACCACGAGCAGCCATAACCCTGGACAAAGTGTATGAGGCAGCTGTTTTCAGGCTGTGGGCAGACGGTGCGACTGAACTCCCCAGCAGGACAACTCAACAGTTGCTCAGCTCTCACCAGGGGACAACTCCTAACTGTGGCCCAGAAGTCACAGGGGCCAGACGAGGTGGTGACCAGAGCCAGGGCAGCAGAGCCGCTAGGGCAGGGGCAGGACCGAACTGCCTATGGAAACAGAGTCCACACTCTTCAGAGGAAGTTAACAGAATATTGAGTTTCACGACATATCAGCCACAATGTCCAGTATGTGAGTTAAAAACCGCTAGGTATATAAAGAAACAGAAAAAGGTGATCCCAGGCCAAAAAAAAAAAAAAAAAAATCAGAAACTGAGAAACTAAACCCCAAATGGCTGAGATGCTGGACTTGGCAGATTGCAAGGCCACTGTTAGAGATGTTCAACCAATTAAAGAAAGATACGTTTTTTGGGGGTTTGGTGTGTTTTTTTAAAATACGTCTTTATTGATTTCAGAGAGAGGAAGGGAGAGAGAGAAACAGAAACATCAGTGATGAGAGTCATTGATCGGCCGCCTCCTGCACGCCCCCGACTGGGGATCGAGCCCACACCCGGGCATGTGCCCCGACTGGGAATCGAACCCCAATCACCTGGATCTTAGGTCGATGCTCAACTGCTGAGCCACGCGGGCTGGGCAGGAAGATATATCTTTCATCAGTGGATGGCTCAAGAAGCTCAGCCCCAAAGTGGAAGGTCTACATAAAAGCAGATTAGTAGGAAAGATCTGACCTGAAGATTTTGAGTAAAAGGGCTGGAGGGAAAGGAGGAGAGCGTCTGAGACCTGGGAACAAAGCACATGGTCTCCCACGCACGTGACTGGAGGCTCGGAAGAAAGGGCGTGAGACTGAGACAGAATAAATAAATATTTGAAGATATAATGGCCAAAAACTTCCCAAATTTGATGAAAAACATCAATTTACATATCCAATAATCTCAACAAACACCAATCAGCATAAATATAAAAAGAACGGCACTCAGACACCCACAGTTCTGAAAACCAAAGAAAATCCTGAAAGCAGCCGGAGAAAAAGACACATCACGTACAAGGGAACAATTGTGAGAATTATAACTGACTTCTCACCAGAAGCAGTGAAGTCAGGTGACAGAGGCATCAGCCAAGTTCTGAAGCAAATAAAGTTGTCAACCCCCCAAAATTTGTATCCAGTAAAAATGTCCTTAAAAAACAAGGTCAACATAAAGACATTCACACAACTGAGACAGAGAATCCGCGGCAGAAGACCCCCAGTTGACTTGGATGTCCTCCAGGTCAAGGGGGGGACGCAGATGGACGCTGACAAGCACAGTGAAGACCTGGCAGGTGCCATTCAAGCTGTGTGGCGGAAGGGCCGTCACCAGGAGCGGGACCGGTGGGCATTACAGCATCACCCCTGCGTCGTCTATCAGGAAGCACAGGGGGAGTGAGACATTTGCAAAGCAGCTGACCCGAGCTCTTCAAAAACGCCAAGTCCCAAAAGGCAAGTGAAGACGGAAGAGCCAGTCTAGGCAAGAAGAACCCGATGGCGCTCGGCCACGTGCAACCCCGGTGGACGTGTTGGGGAAGCAGGCAAACTGGGCCTGGGGTCTGGGGTTCAGTGGCGGCTGCAAGATTGATGTCCAGCTGTGACAGTGGCACTGTGCTTATGGGGGGAGGGATGGTGATCTTGCCTACAGCTTGTTAGCAGACGACTCAGAAAAAAGATTAGCATATAGAGAAAAAGACCCGAGAGGCAAAGGGACCCAGTGTCAGCAACTGGGGCATTGGGCTGGAGAGTACACGGGGCCTCTGGACGGTGCTGCGACTTTCCAGCGGCGCACCCTTCCTCCTCCTGCAACTTGCCTGCTCCTGGTCCTTTGCAACCGCAAGTAAGATTTAGAGTCAGCCTGCAATTCCACATGCGTGCACACACACACACACGCATGCACACACACACAGGCGCACACGCACACATGCACACACAGACGCACGCACACACACGCACACACACTTCTGTCTGTATTTCAGGCAGTGATGTGCAGTAAATATACAGCTCACGCTGCAGAGAACTTAAGTTTCCATGTTGAGTCTAACAATCCACGCGCGACACTCACCTGGGACGGTTAAGGAACCTCAACTGCAGCCGGAGTCGGAAGGGCCTGTAGGGGGCGCTCTTGCGCCCCACCACTGCCATCCAGGACCCAAACAGGAAGCGCTGTCAATCACAGCTGTCAATCAATCACAGCTGTCAATCAATCACAGCTGTCAATCACAGCAGCAGTAATTCGGGTACAGACCCAACAGCGCGAGGCTTCCTCCGCCGCAGAGAGCGCACCACCACCGCCCTGCCCGGAGGAAGATTTTCTTCTCGCCCAGCAACAGGCCCTGCCAATGGAAACTTCGCAGCTCAGCCAATGAGAAGCCACCGCGGCTCTGAACTTGCTTTTCTCCAATGAACTTCCGCTTTTGCTTGCTGACGACTTCCTGCCCGCCCCCCTCCTATAAAAGGCGTCGTCGGAGGGCCGCCTCCCAGTGTCTCCGCTTTGCCCAGTGAGAGGCTGCCCGGTTCGTGAATCATTTAATAAATCTATTCAGTTAGATGTTGTTTAGTAACAGAGCCTTGGGTTAGGTGTACTTTATCTCAATAAAGTTCATAATTTTCCATATACAGGTTTTGCATGTCTTTTGTTAGATTTATTACTAGTTTTTTGTTGTTTTGAAAATCCTACTTAAATAATTCTTAAAATCTTTTTAATTGCTGCTGATATATAAATACAATGTTTGAAATATTGACATTATAGCCAGCAGCCTTGCTGATTTCACATATTAATTTTCTAAGTTGCCCAAAATGCCTTTGGATGTTTTATGTGTACAATAATGTCACCTCCAGGTTAGTGGCTATTTTATTTCTTCCTTTTCAACCTTCAGGTCTTTTGCTGCTTGCCCTTGGCACTGGCTAAGCTCTCTGATGCCGTGTTGAGTGGTGGTGGTGATGACTGGTAACCTTGTCTCAATCCTAATCTCAAGGGGAAAGCTTTCAATATTTCACCATTAATAAGGGTATTTGTCGATATTCTTTAACAGAATAAGAAAGTTCCCTTCTCCTAGGATATAATTTGAATCACTTTAAACCTTTAAAATATGTTAAAACTTATGGCTCCAACGTTCCGTGTGCAGGGGAAGACAGCGTGCGTCCTGTGGTTACTGGGTGGGCTACTCTCACGTGTCACATACGTCATCTGTTCAGGTCTCCTGGACGACAGGTTTGTGGGGTTTTTGTCTCCTTTTCTCTGATATATAAAGGAGATGGGTTAAAGTCTTCCACTGTTATCACCAGTTTTTATTTCTTTTTATATACTTTGAAATTACTAGGTTTATACAAAATGTAAAGTTGCATTTTTGGCGAGTCTGCCCTCTTACCTTCACACCCGTCTCTATCCCTAGTTACTCGTCTTTCCGTCTATTTTGTTTAGTGACGGCAGAGCGGCATCAGCTCTCGTCCGTGCAGTGCTTCGTGGTGGCAGTCAGGGATTGACAGGCACATCAGACCCTACACATCCCGAGATGACTGACCCCAGACTGGCTCCTGGGAGACAGCCTCCGAGCCCTTGGGGTATCCTGCCTAAAGAGCATTTCTGTATGCCTGAGGCCTTACGACATCCGTTTGACCAGGGTTATTAATTAAATGTCCCCTCCAAACCCATATGTTGAAGCCCTAACCCCCAGGACCTCAGAATTGATTGTATTTGGAGAGAGGGCCCTTAAGGAGGTAATTAAGTTAATGTGATTCCATTTGGATGAGCCCTAATCCAATCTTACCAACGTCGTTCTAAGGAGATTAGGACACACCGAGGAGGCACCTGGGATGCACGGGCACGGAGGAAAGGCCGTGTGAGGACACAGCGAGAAGGCGGCCATCTGCAAGCCGTGGAGAGAGGCCTCGGGAGGAACCAAACCTGCTGACACGCTGATCTTCCAGCCTCCAGAACTGTGAGGAAATGAGTTTCTGTCATGTCAGCGACCCAGTCGGTGGTGCTTTGTTACGGCAGCCCTAGCTGACTAATACAGACGGACAGCCCACGCCACCCTGACTCGTGCTGGGTGCTGGCTCCCGTCTGCCCCAGGCCCCGGCTCTGCTGCTTTCAGTGTGGCCTCTGGGAACTGCAGACCAAGTGGCTAAGGCCAGTCATGCAGACAGTGTGACCGGCCCCAGTGAAAACCTTGACGTGGAGGCTCCAGACTCCTCGGTTGGCGATACCTCCTACGTGTTACATTGCTGTTGCAGCTCGGCTGTGCAGTTAAACATGGGTAAGGTGGCAAATTCTCGTGTATTTTACAATAAACAATTTTAAAGGGTGTGAGCTTCCTGAGTGCCTGACTCGAAGTCACCCTCCTGCCTAGAGGTGAGGAGGGGCAGGTCCAGGATGTGCTCCCGCGGTGGGATCCCTGAAGCAGGGCTAGGGGAGATGTTCCTCAGGGTGTCCTGTGGCTGCATCAGTGGAGGGTCGGAGGGTCACTCAGAGGCAGGTGGGGGTCAGGGACCAAGGGCTAAGGATCCTGAACTTGGTCTGGCTCCTGCAGGGGGGAGTTTGCACAACCCCACACATGGGAGACTGGGTGGCCCCAGGTGACTTTTTTTTTTTTAATACATCTTTATTGATTTCAGAGACAGGAAGGGAGGAGAGGAAAATATCAATGAGAGTCATTGATTGGCTGCCTCCTGCACGCCCCCTGCTGGGCCCCAGTTAACTCTTAGTGACACAGAAAGGGGGCCGTTTATCTGAATTCCCAGCACAGGGGGCCCAGCAGGGTTGCAGGAGTGGGCAGGGCCTCTTCCCTGAGGCCCTAATGGACCCCCCCAGGGCTGCTGGCACCTCCCCACTGGAAGCCCAGACCCTCTGTGACCCCACCCCCACCCCTGGGGGGGCCACTCCCTGGGCCAAACTCACTGCAATTCTGTGATCTTCCTGCGTCCAAGACAACCAGGGGACACTGCCTGGTCCCACAGTGACCTGTGCCTCAATCCCTGGAAGGTCACATCCCACGAGGCACAAGGCCCCCTCCCCAGCCCCTCGGCACCAGCAAAACGAAGTCAGAAGGAGCCTGGCCTCCCCCAGGGCCCCAGCCTCCCAAAACCCCCCAACCCCCAGCAGGTAGCAGGTGCTGACCCCGCCAGGCAGGGCACTGGGGGCACCGCGCCATCTGCCCGAGGGGAGGGCAGGCCAGTGCGCTCAGCCCTCAGTCATGAAGAGTAAAACCAAGGGACTGAGGATAAGACAAGCCATGCTCTGGAGACTGGTGACAGGCTGGCTTGCTTCCTTGCCCCTGAAGTCGTGATGGGGATGTGACAGGGACAGCACTGACGTCCGCGTGGGTGTTGGTGGCTGAGTGCGGCAGCCTGCTGCTTGTGGACCACCTGCCCAGCACCATGGCCCGTCCCACGTGCTCCACCATCGGGCTGGGGCTCTGCTGCAGAGCTGGCCAGGTTCTGTCCCACAACCCCTCACAGAAACGAGCAGTCCAGTCAGGTGCGTGTGGGTCTGTCCCAGGCTGTCTCGAAGGTCAGGTCTTCGTGAGGCAGCAGCTGCCCCTGGACACATTTCCACACAGGATACTCCCAGTGCTCCACCCACCTCCCACCACATGCTGTGGGGGCCTCTTCTCCTCCTTACGTCCTGCCCTGGGAGCATCTTCATTCATTAAAAAAAACACTGACCAAGAAATGCCACCAGCCCATGCAGGTGGGCTGGGCCACAGACCCACGGCGGGCACTCGGGGACGGACACAGAGAACGACTCAGCAGCAACGTCACACAGAGGCCAGATGTTTAAACACAGATTTATTGCAAACCCACGTGGTGGACGGGCGGCTTCCTGTCCTCGGGCCTCACGGGAGCTCGGTGGCCCATCTGCTGCTGCCTCGTCTGCAGAGAGAAAACAGGCAGGAGCGGCGACTCCAGGGCAGCGAGGGGCAGAGGTCACTCACCACATGTGAGAGCACTGCCTTCATCCGCCTGTGACCAGCACCCTCCCAGACGCTGACTCAGTCGGCGGGGGTGGAAAGAGACACGACACGGGAAATAAAATCAGGCCAAAGGAAGACGCTGACCAGAGTCCTGGGTCCATCTCCCAAGTCACTGAGGCGCAGACGCCACACCCCACCTGTCATTCCCGGAGACCCCTCAGGGGGTGGAGGTGGGACAGAGACGAGGAGCCCAATGTGTCGAGAACAGTTGTCACACAGACAACACGACAGGGGCCTGAGGAGGGGTCTCAGCAGGTCCAGGACCAGCCACTGATGACTGTAGTCAGGGCTCTCGCCCCCCTTCCACCAGCCACGTCTGAGCTCTGGTGATGGATCACAGGGACCGAATGCTCCCCAAGGACCCAGCGAAGCTGCCCTTAGAGCAGAAATGCCAGCGATGAACCAGCTCCCACCCACGCACAGCTGAGGTGGAAGTCTCCGGAAGGACCATCTTCCAGACAGGTTCCTTGTCCCCCGGGTTCCAGGGTATGGAGACCATGGTCCTGGCGATGGGCACACGGCAAGCAGGACGGGGCACAGGCTTGGGTCCGGAGAGTGTTGGGAGCAGAGCTGCAGTCTGGGTTCATCTGAGAGGGACCAGGGCTGCTGAGGGCACCTGGCTCAGCTCACTTGGACAGGAACCTGGTCCCATGAAATTGCAAGATTGGGTGGGACACGGCAGCCGGTCAGAAGTCAGAAGTCAGGTCAAAGGTCTTGCTGTGCGGGCAGCCATGGGACTTTCTCCCAACATCCAGAACCAGCGACCAGGATGAGGTGCCAGGACCGAGCAGAGGGCGTCACAGACGAGCATCACAGACAAACGGGACTGCGGTGCATGTGCCCAGCAAGGGAGGCTATCCCCAGACTGCGGAGTTGCCCCACCCTGCACCCTGCAGGCCGCCCCCACTTCCCTCCTCCCTCAGCAAGAGAACAGCAAGCAGAGCTACATGACACAGCAAGCAGCGGGTGGGGTTGCCTACAGGGGCCTGGCTGCACTGTGCGGAGCCCCCACTCTCCAGCACCCTCCTCCATGTGGCCCCGCCCTGCCCTGGAACAGTCTGGAGATGCAGGGCAGGGCGGAGACCGGCTGGCCCTTGAAAGAAGGGACAGGGAGGACATCAGACAGCAGGTCCCTCCCAGGAGGGGCACGGCCAGGCCCCGCCTCCCCACCGGCAAGGGCATCCTCTCGTCACTAAAACTGCACAGCCCCTGGGGAGATGCTGAACATGGCCGGGTCGAACCGCTGGCCTCGGAAGGGAGAGCCTTCAGCGTCCCACCCCTTCTTCAGCATCTCGTGGACTTTCTACAACAGAAAACAGAGAGGTTAACCATGGCCACCAGGCCCACAGGTCCCCAAAAGGATGCCACTCCACCTCCTCCAGGAGACCCGCCTGGGTGACTGCACCCTGCACAGGCCATGCTCCCCACGCGCAGACCCCACCCCGTCTGTCACCTGCAAAGTGCTGGCAATCCTCACAGTGCTGCTGTCCCTCCCCACCAGGAATCTGTCCAAACCCCAAGGGGCCCGAGGGCTGTTGCCCATGGGGCAGGCTGTGGTGCAGAGGGGTCCCTGCTCCCCTTCCCCAGGGAGAAGGCTGGTGGCATCAAGGACTGTGCCCTCAGATACCCTGGCGTGACCTAGGCTGAGACTTGGACCGTCTAGGAGGTCCAGTGTCCAGGGGCAGCAGCAGGCCAGGTAGTGTGGCCTGGGCAAGGGACCGCAGGACGCTGTGCCCATAAGGGAGGCGCCTCCCCACACTGCAGACCCTTCCTCCTCCCGAGAACACGGCGGGGCTGGGGGCCACTTCCCCTTCCTTCTGACCATGAGAAATGAAGACGTGTCATGGCCACAGGCCAGGGTGGCCTTTGGTTTCCAGGCTGACAGACTGAGCAGAGAGACAGTCCTTGCCGTCTGAGAGGCTGCAAGACTCTCCTGGCCTGCATGGTGGCGACCGGCACGTCACAGACATGCCGTGTGTTCAGGGATTGGTGACATCACTCATAACCAGACACAGACACACCAGGCCCCCAGCCCGGTCAGCCCAGGCAGGCCAGGTTCAGACACGGGAGGGAGGCCAGAGGCCAGGCCAGCTCAGGGCGCCTGCCCCCTTGCGCTTCTCCAGGGAGCTGGTGGAGTCTGACCCGCCAACCCACCCCACATGCGTGTAGTGAGGACACAGCGGATATATGGACGGACAGACCAGCAGGCCCTGGACACTCACAGAACCAGGGTCAGCCCCAGGAGACACACAGGACCCTGAAAATCTGAACGGCGTTGGAGGAGGGACCTATGTTTGTCCAGGAACAAAACCAATGTCCAGCAGCCCATCCCATTCATATCACAGTGAGTCCACCTCCCAGCACGGGGCGCTAACACTAACTTGAGAAAAGCAACCCTCCTTCCTAAACCCACTCCTAGGATTACTAAAGCCAAAGGAGGGAGGTACAGACGTCCTGTCCTCCCTTATCTGTGATGTCACGTTCCGTGGTTTGTGACACATGGTCAACCGTGGTCTAAAAATGCTAAGTGGAAAAGTCCAGAGATAAACAATCCATAAGTTTGGAACTGTGCGCTGTTCTGAGGAGCGTGATGAAGTCCCTCGCCGTCCCACTCCATCGCCTGGGATGGGACTGTCTCTCTACCCAGCGTTAATACGCTGTGGGCGCTCTGCATGTTAGTCCCTCAGTAGCCATCTCAGGCATCAGATCGACCCCTCCCGGTATCACAGCGCTTGTGTCCAAGTCGCCCTGATTTTACTCCATGATGCCCCAGTGCGAGAGCAATGATGCTGACATTCGGATGCACCAGCAAGGAGCCAGAAAGTGTGCCCTTAAGTGGAAAGGTGACCCGTGTGGGAGAAAACAGCAGGGCAGGGCTTGGCACCGTCTGTGGTTTCAGGCATCCAGGGGAGGTCCTGGGACGTGTCCCGTGGGTAAGGGACGAGCGTACTCACCTAACCCACCCTTCCCTGTGCGGCTCAGCGTGACCCTCCCATCACTAACTCCCTCCTGCCTTCCAACAGCATCAGGCCACACAGACTTATCTGGCCTCTGGGGACTGCACGAGAGCCGAAAGGACTTCCTGCCACTGGCCCTGCGGCCGGGCTAGGCCTGGCCCCCGCTCCTCGGGCTCCCACAGAGCTGGGAACATGCGCCACAGGACCAGGTCTGTGTGGATGGGCGCGTCTCGCCTGCCACTGAGCCCCTGTCCAGGTGTGAAGCTTGTGCTGTCTGGGCTGTAACCAGCTAACCAGGCTGGAGCTCCAGTCAGGACCAGGGGTAGCCTTGCCCGGCACCCGCCCCGTCCACACCCACAACCTCACGGGGTCTCGCCACCCACACACACACACGGAGCCCAGGGGGCGCAGCGTACCAGCTCGTGGCTCTGGGGCCTCCCCTGCAGCTTCTGGCGGTAGTCAAAGGTGAGCCTGTCCAGCACGGCGTGCTCCTCCTCGTCGACCGTGGCCATGGAGCGCTCCTTGTTGATCTGGTCGATGTCGATGTGCTCCTCGCCCTCCAGGACTGCGCTCCACCAGTACTCGCCCGCCTTGTTCAGGCTCACCTGGGACAGGACGGGGACCGTCAGCGTGGGGGCATCTGGGGTCCTTGTCCCCTGGTCCTCACAGGGGACCTGCCTGTGTCAGAGCCCACACCCACTGGCCTCACCGAAAGGGACCTTCCCAGGAGTCCCGAGCTGCCCACCACTCACACCTGGTCCCCGCCGATCGCAGCCTCCCTGAGCCGTCACAGAGGCTCAACCCCAAACCTGAGCTTTTCCAACGGACTTCATCAGTCCCTACCGCCCCCCCACCCTCTGATGCCCTTTCCTGGTTCCAAGCCCAGCTCAGTATCCTGCTGGCTGGGGCCTGGGACCTGGGGCCTGGAGCCAAGCACTGAGCCCACGTGAGCTCCCTCCAGCAGACGCCCAGCACCCTGACCCAGCCCTCCAGCCCGTGACCACTGCACAACTCACGTCCCAGTCAGGGAAAGCACCTCCCCAGCACAGCTCAGGGACAATTGAGGACACGAGACTCAGGGCTGGGGCAGAACCTCAAGGCTTTGCATGAAGTTGGCGCCAAGGGTACTCGTCTCAGGACCATATGGGGGGAGGGGCTGCACCCATGTGGTCAGTGATCAGCACCAGGCTGCCTGGGAAACTCTTGGCGGAGGGTCAAGCACAAGCAGGTGGACTGCACACCATCCCCCACACTATCCACTCTGAGGGGATGAGACCCACTGGGCCTGGGGGCAGGGAGGTGGCTCTCACTCAGGAAAGTGCTGCTGGACCAGGGCATTGGGACACAGGTGACACCATGAGGACCTCGTGTCCAGCTGAAAGGCAAGGATGTGGCACCAGGAGGACACGGGTGAGACATTCTGCAATGAAGCTCGAAGGACCTGGATCTAACCACGGCCTCTGAGATCCAGTCCTCTGGTGGTTTAACGTTGGGTTTCGGTTTTATTATACGTTGTTACTTCTTAGTTAGGTTCCTGGCAGCAGGTTTGCGCTTAGTAAAGTCACTCCTCTGAGGCACGTCCCGAGTCCTCACAGGCCTGCAGCCGCCACGGCAGCCCAGCCGCCCCGCCCCTCACAGGCAGCCCCCTCAGCCGATGCTGGCCTGTCGTCTCGGAGGTCATGTCCTGAATGTCCATCACTCGCGGGATCACACGGCCAAGCGTGGTGTGTCGCTCTGCTTCGATGCATGTGCCCCAGGACCCGCTTGGACACTGGCTGTAGCTGGTCCTGTGGGTGGCCACAGGGTGGTGACCACCAAGATTGTGCCACTTTGTGTGACTGCCCAGCCTCCTTCGTCCATGGGCGGCGCCCAGCATGTCTAACCTGATGAGTCCCACTGTGCCCAGGGGGTCCAGCTGAACATCTCAGGCACTGGGTGCTGTCCCGTCACTCCCAGCAGCTGACCAGTGGGCATGAGGTCACTTGGTTTTAAGTCACATTCTCTTAGGCGACTGACGCCGACGACCGTCCCTGCGCACTGTTTGCAACCTCACTCTTAAAAACGTGTCGTTTGGGATCGTTTCAACCTTACACGTTGCTAGGCTCGTTCAAGTACAAATTCACCCTTTCCTAGGTTCACCCGTTAACGGGCGTCTGCACATGCGCTCACTGTGTCTGAGATGCACAGGACACCGCACGTCAGGTGTGTCTCCTGAACTACCCTGGTCTTTATCCTAACATTTCCACGAGGGCCCCTCCCTCCCTGCACCCTGAGGATGTGAAGTGTTTAATGAGGGGCTTGACCTCCGACGGGATCCAGTCCAAGGCCCGCCTTGCCTTTGTGGTCCTGTTCCGTCCTCTGGAACGTTCCACAGCCTTTGTCCTTAGTTGTTCAGCTTTAGAGACCACTCCTCACTCGTATTTCTCTGGTGCTTCCTCCTGATTAAAGTCAGGAAGTGGCCCCAGCAAGACCCTGCACAGGTGATGCATCACCCCTCCCAGTATCCCACCTGCAGGCACAGGCGCACGTGGCCATGTCCACAGGTGGTTCCTGCCGGACCCCATCTGCCCCACAACAGCCATGGCAGGAAATGCTGCCTCCTGCCCCAGCAGGCGGGATGCTGCCCAGCGAGGGCCCCCGTCTCTGGGATAGAGCCAGGGAATCCTCGGCACCAACTTCCAATGCCTAGTGTCAGGGGCTCGCACTCCCACACGTCCCTAATTATGAGGTGCTCAGTGCCCCATCTTGGCCTGTCAGGGGCGGTGGCTGTGCCCTGATGGTGCCCCTCCTTTCCTTGGCCTCCCTCCAGGTTCCTCGTATCACCTGGCCCCAGACCTGGAACTGGTTTCTCGGGGAAACCCCGAAGCTGCTCGCTGAAAAGCTTTCCCAGAATGTCCTCACGGACACTCCGACCTGACGTGGAGAGGCTCATGGCAGCTCCCCGACCTGTGCCGGTGACTCACCAACGTCCACCTCCTCGCCCTCCTCAGTCACAGTCACACATTCACTGCTATTCAGGGAGAAGTG